TTGGGAAGAAACACCATTGAAAAATCCCTAAATGACCCGTGCAGGGTTGACTCTACTCTGTGGCCATGGACACATGCTGTTGATAACACCTGTCTCATGAGTCTCACACAACTTTCCCTTTCACATTATCTTCCCCATCAGCTTTACCAAAACCATACCTGCATCCTGAGCAGAATCTGACTTTTAAGAAACTAAGGAATCTCCTTGCAACCAAGAATGACTAGACCAATAAGACAACCTTTAAGACCCCAGAACAATATAGAAATACAACAATACAGTAATAGCAATAATGAGATATCAAGCTGTTGCAGGGCCATCTAGAATACAACCATTTTCAGTCCAGGAATTATACTCTCACAGCTTGGCTCACAGGAAGCAGAAATGAAGATGATAAGGATCAGGGCTGAACCTGTGGTCACCAGCTCCACCACTGGCACCAGCCACAGAGTAAACAAGATTCATATCGACCCCTGGGATGGAAAGATTAATTGTTGCCTTATCAACCTCTGCCACAGCCCACCCAGAAAAGATACATTCATCATGGCTACAATGTTACAGAAGGTGATGGCCCAAAGAGTAGGCCTGCCTGACTGACACTGAGATAAGGGGAGCAGTAGGATCTCAGAGGCTACAGCAGAAACATCCACATAAAAGAGCTTTGCCCAAACTTATGATAAAAGGCAGACTCTCCCTACTTTAATACTAGCACAATGCAGAAATGGTGAATGGAAAGAGAAATCTTAGGAAGAACCTCCCAAAAAAGCAAAATGTTTTTAGGCTTGTGCTGAAGAGACTGGAGAAGAAATAAGGACACACAACACTGTGAAATCTTCCTTCTGCCCCAACACTGGGAATAATCTCCCACGATCTCTCCATATCTCATTATCCTGGATACTCTGGCCACTCAAAAATATATGTGCAGAGTACAGTAGTTCAAACATGAACTATTGTGTTAGGAGTAAAGGAAAGAATATAGTAAAATAAATCAATTTGAAAGTAATTCTCTTAAATTGCTCTATAGATGTTTAATGTAAGCTAGTAGCTGTTAAACTTAAACCCTAAATTCAGAAAAACTTGGTCATTCAGAAACATCAATAATAGAAACGGGTAGAGTTTACTGCAAGGGCAAACAGAGTGAGCTCCAGTCTGCTTCAGGAAAAATCTGCCAATACCGTAAAGGATGTATTCTGCCTGCCCCACTGCACTACTGCTCACTCTGAGCCCATGCCATCAGCTGTCTCTGACTCATTCTCTTGTAAAGGAGTTCTTTACAAGAGAATGCAACATTTATGAAAGTTTCTAGGTGTTTTATACCTGCCAACTCGAGGGTTAAAACATGCACATGCTCAATCAAGACAGACACAGTCATTACTCAAAGAATAAGAAGCAGCCTGGCAGCACATAAATGAACAGAAAAAAAGATATTATAGGCAAAGCATGGAATAACCAAAGTCTATAACTGATGTTAATCTGTAATGTGTTTAGGAGAATTTAAAGGAAGTATAAGATTTATTCTTTTATCAAATATATATATATATATATATATATTTGAGATATATATACATATTTGAGATATATATATATTTGAGATATATATATATTTGAGATATATATATATATATATATTTGAGATATATATATATAAAAAATATATCCAGTGAGGCCATACCTATCAATTATCCATCAAGTGGTGACATGGCAGCATAAGGTAAAACACAAAGGAACAAAACCAACATTTATTAAGAACCAGTCATGTGGCATTTCACATTGAGTACCATATTCAGTTCTCAAAAAGCCTTGTACTGTAACATTCTTCATATTTTATGGATGCAGTAACTAAGCCTGAGAACTTTAAAATTTTTCCTAAGTTCAGACACACAGCTAAGAGGCAGAACCAGGGTTCAAGCTCACCCCATCTAACCACAAAGCAAAGTTCACACCTTAAATGTCAAAGTGAATAATAGCACAGCTAATACATGCTTTGGAAACTCAGAGAAGAAATTATCTCTCTGCATTATAGTGACTAAGGAATCATTGCCATTATTCAAATGTCAGTGCTTCTACGTTAGGCCCAAACTTTCTGTCCTACTGTGAATCAACACTCGACTCAACCTCTACTTAAATATCTGCAGTGATGGGAAAATCACTTACCTCACCTGACCACACAGACAGTTTTGTAAAACCATACACTTTTGTAAAAACAGACTGTTGATAAGTTCTTTCTTATACATACTCAACAGCTGCTTCCCAAGATGCTATAGGATTATGTCTAGAGGCAAACTAGCCAGAGGCAATGTCCAAAATACACCATAGCCCTGTGCAGCAAAGGTCCCACTGCCCCTTGGTTGGCCCAAACGTTCTACGCAGCACTGGATACCTGAATCATCATCAATTATTTCCACAAACCCTGACCCCTCTGCCACTCATCCTCACACTAGAAGAATTCATTCCACATGATAATAGCTCCCTCATGTTGCTCCCTGCTAAGTCAAATTGTACACCCCTTTATCTGATTAATAGTCTGATTAACAAGTCACATGACCTAAATGCAAAAGAAGCTAGGAAGGGAAGTTTGTAGATTCTACTTTAGTAAGGCAAAAGTTATCATTGGGAATTCCTCTAATACAGGAAAGGTGTTCCAGAGACATTAAGGAGCCATATACATGGCAAATGTCCACTCCTATCCATCACTTGGTTGCCCAATATCAATATTCATTCTTTTGCCATACTTAAAGTTTCTAAGAACAAAAATTAACCCACTGAACATAATCCTCCCTATCTTTTACATAAAGGAAAATGAGGCTTGACTCAGCAGAACTGAAATAACGCAGTCTCAACAGTTACTGTTTTCAACTGCAAGAACCAAGTCTCTAGGTAAGATCTGCTCTACGACTAGTTTGGTCACATTTTCAATTTGATATTCTCTAGTTTCCCAACTTGATAACTGTACACTAAACCATAAAGTTCATTACCAACATGCTACATATAAAATAGCCCAAAAAAAAAAAAGGGAAAAAGACAGAGAAAAAAGAAATCTCTTAAAATACACAAGTATACACATGACGGAGCAAAGAAGAAAATGTGAGAAGATAGTGCAGTCCTCGTTTCTGAAATTGGTACCCTGACTGGGGCTGTACCTATTCCATTTCCTCATCCTCAGCCAGGCAGGTAGAGAAAAACTTAAGTCTTGGTGGATGTGAATCTTGATGCTATGGAGTTATCATACTAGCCCCAGACTACCCACCTCTTCAATTCTATCAGTGAAAACAAACACCTTTGATTTGTTAAGCCTCTGCTTTTTTGGTCTAACTGATGTAAGACCATAGAACAAGACTTCTCCAGCTCCAGATTCTCCTCTTTCCTGCTAATGGTGGAAAGCCCAGAGTAGAGTTGCCAACTTCAGCAAATAAAAATACAGGACTCCCAGTTAAATTCAAATTTTAGATAAACAACAATTTTTTAGTTTTAGTATATCTCATTCAATATTTGGGATATAGTTAATTTAAAAATGATTTGTTGTTCATCTGAAATACAAATTTAACTGGGCATTCTGAATATTCTCTGGCAACCCTCTAGAGAGTGAAGAAAGTGGTACAAGGACACCTAAGATGCCCAGATTTGAAAAGACATTAGGAATGTGTATAAATGTTTTATTCTAGAGAGAGTAAGAGCTGTATATAGAACTTGGGAAATTGAGTTAAAAGCAACAGAAGACCTGGCCAATACATACTAGGGGTAAATCACTCTGGTCACGAGCCCAAGCTGAGACCAAGGGGATAGCTAAATGATTTGGAAAAGACACTTATCCCCTACACATCCCCATCTTTGAACTAAATGCCTTACAAATCTCCAGGGAAAATGGCAGTCCATCATGTGGACTCCTTTCTCTAAGTCCAGGGAAAATAACAGGTATGTGCTTGAAACCCACTTCTGATATTATAAGTTGTGTGATCTTGGTCATGTTAATGTGTCTGAGTCTCAATTCTACAATTGTAAAGTGATAGTAATGGTGTGTCCCCAGGTTGTTGTGGAAATCTTGATTCTTAATGTAACAGAAGGGAAACCCCAACCTCTCTGGAACAAACACCCTTCTCCTACATCTTTACTTATTCTCTACATTGGCAGGACTCTATTCCTCTATTTCTCTTTAGTGCTAGAGTAGATAGGGCTCTTGATTTGGAATCAGGAAAATCTAATTCTGAACCATAAGCCATGATAGCAGATATATATATATATTTATATCATATCATGACATAGTAATGATGATAACAGTAATGCCTATTGATAGGGTTGCTATGAAAGTAATATCTCTAAGAGTTGTGACAATATATGATGTGCCTGCACTCTCAGAATTCCAATCCCAATTGCTCTTTGCATAAAGTTCTGTCCTAGGGTCTCTTCCTTTCCCACATCTACCCTTCCTGGATCTCTCTTCTGCCAAAAACATGTGGTTCAGAGGAAGAGACAGACCCAGGTCAATGTTTTTCAAATTGCAAGGAATCATCCTTTAAGTGAGGTTGTTGCTCAAGTTTTGACATGTAGTGGAATGGAATGGAGTGGAGTGAAGTGGAGTAGAGTGGAATGGAAACTAACAGAGAACATTGCACATGGTTAACATAAAGATTGTTTCTGAAACTTTTGATTTGTGCTTACATACTCTTACACACATGTGTGCATGCACTGGGACTCTGCAATATGCATTTCTGACTATGGACCATAGCCATTAAAGTAGGCATGCTTCCAAATGTTCAGTGCAAACACCCGCCCCATGTTTCCGATGGGCCTTTCACAAGCTGCCCTAACTGGAAAAGAAAGACAAGGTCCCTCCATTTCCTGCCCCTAACTTCAGAAAAGTCACCATGGTTGAGGGTACATCTGAGAAATCAGCACTTGGGAGTTCAGGCCTCAAGTTCCTCTCTAAAAAAACACAGGGTGATTCTGGGGGAAGTTCTGATCAGAAAGACAGCCAATTCAGAGTGAGAGAAGAAAACATGACCATGCAGTTCCTGTGGTTACCAGCCCTGCCCTTCTCTTGCCTGCTGGGAGTCATAAAACCCAAGACTAGAAAGGAAAACCAGCATTTGCTCAGGCAGCCTCTCTGGAAAGATGCCACTTCTTCCTCTCCCCCTGCTACTCTTTCTCCTGTACTCCAGAGCTGAAACTGGTGAGTATTGGGGTTCTTAACTCTGAGATCTGCAGTATCAGCTCGTGAAACAAAGATGTTTAGTCTTAAAATAGCTAACTCTTAAACAGGGTTCCAAGATCTCTCTTCAAGAGTCCCACAAGGAAATTTCCACTTTGGAGATGCACCCCCCCCCCAACATCCACTGCCATTCTCTGAAGCCTAGGATAGCTCCCAGGAATGAGGAATCCCACCTCAATTGCGGAAAAGCCCAGAGCAAGTGGAAAAAAGAGGGGTGTCCCCAGGAAAACTGATATGTTCTCTTAATCTTCTGAGCATAAGGGCTACCCATTACCTTGTGATTTGCTCACTCTGACCACACTTATGGGCTGTGGAGAAATCTAAAACAGGAATATGAACATCGGGTTCTACATAGAGACAGAGGAGGGTGGGCCAAGGCAAGGTGGAAGTGGGGGAAATCTGAATTGAAAACATCTGAATGGAGCTAAGGCAGGGCCTTAGCTGTTGCACCTGGAGGAAAGAATGACATTTCACGTGAGAGGTTGTGGGTGGGGAAAAGATACGAAATGCAGGAGACAGGAGAGGGAAGATGGGCAAAACACAGGGTGAGAATGAGATTCCAGGGAAGCCTTGCTCAGCTTTAACCCAACTTGTTCATTCATTGGAGAGAGTACCAATGCCTGTGTTCTTCCAGGGCAGATCATCAGGGGCACAGAATGCAAGCCACATTCCCGCCCCTACATGGCCTTCCTAGAAATTGTCACTTCCAGGGGTCTCCCGAAAGCTTGTGGTGGTTTCCTGATAAGACGGAACTTTGTGCTGACGGCTGCTCACTGTGCAGGAAGGTGAGACAACAGGGTCCATTTATGTCCAAGCAGGAGAGGAACAACCAGAGTAGCACCAGTGTTACACCTGCAATGGGGCCTGAAGAGGGGGTCCTGGGTCCGGTCAACTTTCAGGAGAGGGAAGACTTGGGCTCAAAGACTTTAGTCCATGACTGAATGGTTCCTTGAGCCTCAGTCACTGTAAGCTAAGCTCCCTTTTGGAGGAAAAGGAGGCCCCATCTAAGGTCCCTCCTGTAGCAGTAGCTCTCCTCATCCCTACCCTACTCAAGACATACAGTTCGCTTTTCAGGGCCCTACCCATTCTCAGGGCCACTTCCTCTATGGTCTTTTCAAGAACACTGGCCTCTAGTTCTCAGGGTCCTGAACCTATCCTTTTATGGGAGGCAGAGAACAGGGTCCACATGAGACCTTCACTTTCCCCTTTTACTGGTATCTCCTGCCTCAGGGGGCTGGTCCTCATGCAGGCTCCCTGAATTAGAAAATGCAAACCCTGTCCCCTGAGTCCTCCCTGGCCTGTTCATTCCCCAACAATTCCAGGGGTCCTGGAAATTGTGTCTCTTCCTTGAGAAAGCTCTTTCATAAAAAAAACCTGAGCCCCCAAACGCCAAAAGTGGCCCATGAAAAGGAAGATGGGCAGAGTCTGATAATTCAGTGAGAGACTCCAGTCCCTTTTCTCAGACTGAGCTCACCTCAGGAGAAACCCCAAGCCATTACTGTCACTCTTTTTCCTTCCTTCTTCCTCACAACAGGTCTATAACAGTCACCCTTGGAGCCCATAACATAACAGAGAAAGAAGACACCTGGCAGATGATTAAGGTTGTAAAGCAATTCCGTCATCCAAAATATAACGAGTCTACTTTTCACCACGATATCATGTTACTAAAGGTGACAACACCTCTCTTCTCCTTTTCCACTTCCCATTCTCCTAAGCTTCTCCTTCGGGTCCTCATTGCCCTGAATTTTTCTTAGGGCTTAGCTCTAACATGAAGCAACTTACCCTGTCCCTCCCTGATCACTTCCAACTGTCCAGAGCCCATTTTGAGGACTGACAGTCCTTCATTCCCTTCACAGTTGAAGGATAAAGCCAACCTGGCACTGGCCGTGGGGACACTCCCCCTCCCATCCCAATTCAACTTTGTCCCACCTGGGAGAATGTGCCGGGTGGCTGGCTGGGGAAGAACAGGTGTGATGGAGCCGATCTCAGACACTCTGCAAGAGGTGAAGCTGAGACTCATGGAACCCCAGGCCTGCAGCCACTTCAGAGACTTTGACCACAATCTTCAGCTGTGTGTGGGAAATCCCAAGAAGACAAAATCTGCATTTAAGGTGATCCTCCAACTAGGTTTCTTCTCCAAAACTCACTGTTCAGGGGTCAGAATGCTCCTAGAAGATGGGGTCAGAAGGCTATCAGCCAGTGAAAGGGTTGGCATCACAGGAATTGTCTGTCCTCCCATGGCCCAAGACAGCCTCTAATCGTCCATTCCAGTCTACTGCACTGGGGGAATGGGTTAACGTGAAGAATGTGGATGACTGTCCCAAGAAAGGAAGAAGGGGCATCAGAACTAGATGTATAAATAAGGAGCCCCACCCAGCTCCCAGGTCTGACTTGAGGTCTCACTGTGACTCTAAGCTGGCTGGCAGGCAGGAGTGGAGGACTTCCTGGCCTCACCTCCTGCTCTACCTCTCTCTCTCTCCTTCCCCTACAGGGAGACTCCGGGGGCCCTCTTCTGTGTGCTGGGGTGGCCCAGGGCATTGTATCCTATGGACGGGTGGATGCAAAGCCCCCTGCTGTCTTCACCCGAATCTCCCATTACCGGCCCTGGATCAATAAGGTCCTGCAGGCAAATTAACCCTGGATCCTGAGCCAGCCTTAAACAGAACCTGGAACTGGACCTGAGCAGCAAAGTGTGTGTCACTCATTCTGGCCTGACCTTGGTCCCTTGGCCACAACCCAGAGCCTCCAGAAGTGTCCTACCGGTCATAGAACTCTCAATAAATCTCAATAAAGATCCAGCTCCCCGTCATGAGTGTGTGTTCCCTCTCAGCTGCTCTCTTCTCCCTGCACGTAGCAACCTGATTCATGGTCCAAGCACCCAAGAATTTGAATTTGGAAGGGGTGTGTGTATGTGTGTGTGTGTGTGTGTGTGTGTGTGTGTGTGTGAGAGAGAGAGAGAGAGAGAGAGGAAGAGAGACAGACAGAGACAGAGTGAGGAAGAGAGAGAGAGGCAGAGAGACAGATACAAAGGAAAAATGAAAAAAAAAATTCGATGAAAAAAAAGAGATTCTTCTCTGGAAAGGCAGGATCCATACTTCCAGCTTAAGAAATGACACCAAATCCTTCCTTGCCTTAATCATCAACCCTATACCAATTCTGATTTGTCTTTAGTAATATTCAGAATCACTAAGAACATTTTGAATTATAAACAAGATGTAAGATGTTTACAGCAACCCTGGCCTCTTCCTACTAGATGCCAGTAGCAACACCCCCTTCTCCACCACAAAGTTGTAACAAACAAAATATCTCCAGGCATTGCTAAATGTCCCCAGGCAAGGGAGGGAGGGGGAAAGAATGATTGCTCTCAGTGGAAGACCACTGGTTTAGGTACATGATATAAAGAAGGCAGTTGATGCCACACAGAGTCCTCCTCATAGTCCACATCGATAAGAAAAGATCTTCACTCTGTGAAGCTTTCATCTGATATGCAGAGAAGATTGCCTCTCACTGAGTCATTGTTACAAAACAGATACTGAGAGATTAGAGAAGAGACAGCATCACAAGGTCCACATGAGCAACATCCATCTACAAATGGCTTCACCCAAACCAGCAGGAAGTCCAAAACCTAGAGCCTGCTCAATACAAACCCTTGTCATGGGAGACTGGAAGAGAGAAAACAGGGCAGGACGTGGACAGGACAGCCAGGGCCTGAGGCTGGCAACACCCATCATTTCTGAGGGTGTGCTAAACACCTTTGGCCAAGTGAACTATTGCTAGGAATTTGTCTTTAAGAAAGAATCAAAGACATGCACAAAGATTCATGCATAAAAATTTAAATCTCAACATTTTTAATAACAAAAATCTGGAATCCCAGACATGGAACAAAGCTTACATGATAAACTTGTGTGATTGAATATTTTGAACTCTTAAAAATTTGTGTTAAAAACATTTAATATGGAAAACTTCAATAAAATTCAATATATTCAATATAATATAATGCTTTTAAAAGGAATATGAAAATCTTCCTATAGAATATCAATTTTGTAGCTATATATTTTATATATGCATAGGAAAAAACTGGAAGTAGTTTTCAACATAATTATGGGGGTTATCTCTACAGGATGGGATTAATAGCTATTCTGATTTTGTCTTTATGCTGGCTCCAAGCCCCATCCATGTATTCTAACTATTAAGGATGCAGCACCACTCATGGTTCCACCAGTGGATACATGCATATACCCATCTTCAGAATCCCATTGGTCAGGGTTTCTGCATGGGAAGCAAGCATCCTTCCATTCCCAGGTCACATCACTCAGTCCATTCAGGAAGCTATCAGAGAAGCTAAGCCCCTAAAATTTCCCTCAGGTCAGTGAGCAGGCATAGCAGTCTTTCCTGGCAATTGGTGTCAATGGCCAACCGCAATCTCCTGAAAAGATGTAAAGAGGATTGGTAAATCAAGCTACAGTCTCCACTGCCACATCTGATCCCAGAGTCCTAATTGATATTTTGCATCTCACTTCTGCCACCCACTCTAAGTTCTCTCCACTCCCCCATCTAGCAGTTCAGTGAGTTTGTGCTGTAGTCTGATAGAGTGACCCAGACCTCCACCCTGAGAGGACTGAGCTGTTAGTTGCTTTGCATTTATTAGGTTTTGGTTGTTGTAACTGCCCATTTACAATTACCAGTAAGCACAAAAGTATAGGGGCTACTTCCAGCAAATCCCCTGGGTTGCAGTCATACTCCTATCTTCTCCCATTGCATTGCAACAGCCCTAGCTTCTCACAGTAATTAAGACCAAATACTCTAGCCATAAAGCAGCCATTTCCTTTGCCTGCTGGTCCACTGTTATGAGGAGCCCCAAAAGGCTGAATGATAGTCACAACGTTCAGTTCACTGGAGCCTTTCCCACCTCCACTGGAGAAAGTATTTTCTTCCTGGAAACTTAGACCTCTAAAGTTGAAGAATTTGAGTTTGCAGGAACAGGAAGGCACAAATTCCACAAGTAAGTCCTTGGGAGTGATAACTAAAGGGATCAATTCTACTTCTATCCCTCGGTTCCTGGACCCATATATTCTAGCTATTTGGGGACACTGAACCATAGATTGGTTGTTGATTCAGCATATGTACCAAACCCTAGAAAGCAGTGCTCCAACTTCCAACCCTACAGAATGTCGTCTCTAAGCTAGCACCTTAGCTGAGCTTTCAACAGGCCAGCTCATCATTCCATTAGGTTGACTGCTTCTGGGTTGCATGGTATATAATAAGACCGATGAGCCCATCATTTTACATTATTTGCCACAAAATGAGTCCTTTGCTCTGAGGTAAAATGTGTGAGAGCCAGGTTGATGGATTGGGGAATCTGTAAGCCCTTATATGGTGGTGGTGGCAGAGGAATTTTAGGCAGAGAAGGAAAACTCATATCTAGAGCAGGTATCAATGGTGATATAGATAATGTCCATCTCCTCCAAAGTAGAGGGGTCAACCTCTCACTAGATAACTGCCTGGTCTCTGCAAGAGCAGTGCCATCTCAAAGACTCAGGGATAGTCTCTGCTGCTGGCAAGTTAGTTGATTAACAGTGGGAAGACCCAAATCGACTTTGGTGAGAGTGTCCATGTTCTTGGGCCCACGAATAGCCTCTGTTCTCAATCTCCATGACCATTCTACTCTGCTCATGGCCCATTGTTCCAGCAGCAGGTAGTCAAAAAGAAAATGTGGCTAACATCCACAACCCTTATTGCCCCTTTACCTGGTTGAGAGTCTCTGTGAGCCCATTTGGTCCAGTGCTCAGGCACAGCAACTTCTCCTTAGCAGGTAGCACTGTGCAAGTGGGGTTCTTGGTCTGTGGTGGCAGCAGCAGTGGCAGCGATGAGTAAGCAGGAATTTACAACCATGAGAACAGAGTGAGTTGCCACTAGAGCCACTCCAACCTAAAAGCAAAGCAAGCAGTCAATGCAAGTAGAATCCAGAGGAGCTGGGGTGCTGTATAAACTGGACCAGGTGCACTGGTCCTTACTCAGTGATATAGTTGGGATCCTCCAGGAACAAGTTCACCTTTGTTCTGCTGATAATTAGATCATCCTGAGCAAAGGTATATTGCCAAATTATGTATATAAATGTCATCTGTTCGAGTGGGTGAAGGAGGGTGTTGAGGAGGTAACACCAGTGGTGAATGAGAAAATAAAAACTGCCCACCTGAAGTCCAGAAACAAGAGAATCTGAATAATGCAAGGAATGAATTTTAGTAGACCTTGTCGATGCCCTTCCCAGGACCTCTTTAGCAGTTGATGCACCCATTCCCCAGCTGTTATGAGTGATAGTCATTAACCAATGTCCATGTCCATGAGTCCACATATATCCTTTCCCCGAGCGACTTCTCTCTGTACAAAATAGATGCCCAAATTGATTTTTGACAAGGCTCCCAAGGACGTATGATAGAAAAATAGTCTATTCAATAGATGGTGTTAGGAAAACTGGATATCCACATGCAGAAGAATGAAATTAGACCCTTGTCTCACACTATATACAAAAATCAACTCAAAATGAATTAAAGGTTTAAATATAAAATCCGAAATTTTAAAACTACTAGAAGAAAACATAGGAGAAAACTCCATTACATTGCTCTGGGCAATGAATTTTTTGGTATTATCCCAAAAACACAGGCAACAAAGCAAAAATAGACAAATGGGATTGCATCAAACTAAAAGTCTTCTTCACAACCAAGGAAACAATCAACAGAGTGAAGAAACAATGAATAGAATGGGAGAAAATATTTGCAAATCATATATCTAATAAGGGGTTAATATTCAAACTAAATAAAGAACTCAAACAATTCAATAGCAAGAAAGCAAATAACCCAATTTTAAAATGGACAAAGAACCTAATAGACATTTCTCAAAAAAAGAAATACAAACAGCCAATAAGTATATGAAAAAATGCTCAACATCACTGAACATCATGGAAATGCAAATTAAACACAATGAGGTATCACCCATTAGAATGGCAATTATCAAAAAATAAAAGATAACTGATAGGATGTAGAGAAAAGAGAATACTTATACACTGTTGATGGCAATGTAAATTAGTATAACCATTATGAAAAAACTATGGAGGTTTACCCAAAAATTTAAAACATAATTGCCATATGATCAGGCAATCCCACTACTGGTTATATATTTAAAGGAACTGAAATAAGCATGCCAAAGAGATATCTGCACTCCCATGTTTATTGCAGCACTATTCATAAATAACCAAGAAATGGAATAAACCTAAGTGTCCATCAATGGATGAATGGATGAAGAATATACATACACACACACACACACACACACACACACAGAGTGGAATACTATTATCCATCCTTAAAAAGAAGAAATGTCATTTGCAACAACATGGATGAACCAGGAGGACGTTATGATAAGTGAAACAAAGCAGGCACAGGAAGAAAAATACTGCATGATCTCAGTCATATAATCTTAAAAGACAAACTCATAGAAGTAAGTAGAATGGTGGTTACCAGGGCCTGGGGTAGAGGAGAGGTACAGGAGGGGATGAGCTTCCTGGTTCTGAAGTCCTACTACTGCTTCCACAACCATCCTACTCCAAAGGCTCAAACATCAAGGGGTCTCCCAGCTTGCCCCAGCACTTGGACATCCCAACTCCAAATCTAGTTGTAAGTGCAATATAGTCTGAATTGAAGAAAGAAGAATATTCAAAAATGTACATATACTTTGATTGCAACAGTATGGAAAACTATACATTCTAGGGAAAAGTAGAAAGAATCCTTCAAAAATGGAGGTA